AGATTGGACACGCTCCCCTTACGGGCTTTGCAGTATTAGAGTGCAGATTTCCTTTGCCTTATTTAGTTTCATAAAATAAGGGGTTTGTTTTGTCTATCCTTACAAATGCCAGAAATGTAAAATTTTAAAAACACTTTCCAAAAAGCTGATTTCTTTTAAGAAAAGAGCAATTGCAATTGTAATTCTTTTCTCTCACTGTCTGATGAATTTATTATCTCCTGTGTTCAGTGGCCAAAAGTGGGTTTTGACTTGCTTAAGACAGGGAGAATTTTTTCCTTTCATCTGCTGCTCCATTAGTTCCTATCAGAGCCACAGTTAAAAAAGTTAATATGCCTGAGTATTTCTGCAGATTGCATCATTTTCAGTGTTTCATAACGCTATGGCAAAAGTAATTTGAAACAGATAACAATAGTGCAGTCTGTTTCAGAATAACCATGATTTCCTTGTCATTAAGAGGTCTGTTAGCGGGTAGAGGAGGAGGAGTTTTATCTGGATGAGTTACATATCATATGGTGTGATCGAGTGCCTCCCCCCCCCCTTTTCCTTCCCTTGAAATCCGCAGCACTGGACTTTGGTTTGGATATGAAACGATTGGATAGTTTCAAACTGCTGTCTGCACAAAGCAGCTCAGCGCTTCCAGATGTTTTTAATAAGGAGACCAGAACTGTCACATCAGCAGCCGGTGGCCCAGGCTGCTGCTCACGTCTCCGCTCCATTTTGAGCAGCTCGCCAAAAAAAAATAAAAAAAAAGAGAATTATTTACTTATTGGAGTAGGGATTTTTTTCAATTTAATCTTTCTCCTCTGATTGTCTGGTGCATTGTTTTTCTGAGCATAAATACCATATACTGTGTAAACATGTGTATGACATCCAAGGGACTGCCTTAAATAGATGGACAAAGGAGACTGGAAACCTTTGTTCTGCTTCGTGCGAGCTGAGTCTGTCTTCTGCGTCTGCTCAGCGTGCCTGTGTGTATATAAGGCTGTGTGCAAGGCGAGATTTCTAGCCTGAAACAATGCAGCAAAAGCCCCACCTAACGTGGGAAGAGAGTGAAGGTCTCCCAACGGGGAGTGTGTCTGGCACATTATCTTCTATTTGTTTATATTGCATTTCTCCCCCCCACCACCAGTAAAGTCTGGAAATGAAGATGAGATGGACTTTGGGTGTCTGTAGTCGTCACTGGCCTCCTGATCTTGGCTGTGAGTCAGGAGCATAACCACAGAAAAACTCTTGGAACAAATAGGGATTTGTAAGCTTAAATTTGAGAAGAATAAGAGAAGGGAGAGAGGGGGCTATTTTTTGTTGTTTTGTCTGTGTTATTTCCCTCTGTGGCTGAAGGTGTAGAGGAGTCCAACGGGATCAATTGGCAACCTTTACTAGATCGACGCATAATTGTGGAGGAAGGCAGGTCATCATCTCAATTTGCAGGTAGGACATGGACACCTTCTGAGTCCTGGACACATCCTGTGTCCAGTGTCACCCTGCCTGGCTCTGCCCTAGAACCTTCCTTGGCCAACTCTTGCCACCTGCCTGTGCCTTCCACTTGAACTCTGTTCCCTCCTGCCCCGTGAAGGCGCACGTTGGGTTACTTGTGGCTTTTGGCCGTACCAAGATGCACGTGCATGGCTCAGAAAAATTGGCATCCTCTTTTTAACTCCCTGCTGTGAAGGGTGCCCACCTCCCAGGGCGTCTCCCACCTCCGTTGGCTAGAGGTGTTTTGCATTTCTCCTTGCCTGTAGGAAGGGTGAGATAACGTCAGCCCCAAAACACTGGGTGTTGATGCATCTATGAGTTGGACCTATCTTGCATCTCCGTGGAAGATGCGCTGTTGCAGTTAGAGTGATGCTCATATGGCGGTCTCCCCTGCAAGGTGGACATTGCTTGAGCTCCACAGCTGAACATCTCCTTCTGGTTGCCAGAGGGGCTCTGCGGTTCAGAGGTGAAGTGCTTTAAGTGGAGCGCCTGGACAGAGCTGTGCAGTTTGGATAAATCTTGGCCTTATACCAGCAGCCATAATTAAATTGATTTGAAAACAAAAATAACTGCTGTGTCAGTTAAAAAAATACGGGTGCTCCATAATGAAACAGTAGAACTTCATAAAGGCACAGCGACTGCTGCAGAATCCTTTACCTGAACTAAGTTGTGTATAGATTCCTGTATTGTAAATATAGATTTGAGGAAATCCCTGCCTTTTATGGTAGTGTTAGAAGGGCTGGAATGCCATCACAGCCATTTCTGATTCCTCATCTCAACGGGCACATGATTGCTGGGATTCATTAGTTGTGGAGAAAACTGGTGGCTCCAGAAAGTCCCCAGAGTACTACCACATTTCGTGTGTGTCCTAATACTGAAAGCAGAAGCTGCACTCGTTGTTAAGGAGAACAGAGTCATTGGCTGAGATCTCAAGCTGGGGATTGTGGCTGTAAGAGAACTTCATAGAGGAGATCCTCCTCGGTTCAGCTGGTGGTGTGGTGGAGATAAAGCTTTGGGTTGTGAGGGAGAGACTGGAACCCGATGAAAGTGAGGGGAGATACCTCACATTGAGTAGGTAAGAACATGCCTGTGTTGCTTACCAGGAGGAGCTCATCTGCGGTGAGTCCCCGGCCCATTCCAGCACTTGAGGACACATTCATGGCGTGATGCCCAAAGGTGGACCCTCGAGCGGTGGCTGGCCACCATGCCACCAAGCCGTGCTGTAGAAGAGATGTCCTTCTCAGCTTGCTTACTGAGTCTGCTAAATCTGGAGGGTAGTTATACTTTTGGGCAATCTGACTGTACGAATTGGGGTGTCATATCCAGGAAAGCTCAAAATAGTACTTCGTGTTTCTGTAAACTCCCCTTCTTCAGTATTTTACCAAACAGACGTGGAGGGGAGTCAATTCCCATGTTACTCACAGGCAGGCTGCTGGCACAGTGTTTTTGAACAGCCAGAAGACTGAGTAGCACGGGAAGGAGAGGAGCTGGAGTGCCTGCTCGCAGCAGATGCTTTTAGACCTCCTTTGGAAAACTCCTCTTGCATTCAAATGCCCAAAACTCACTTTTTATCCATTTCAGCAGGCTGCAGGGTTTGAGTTCCCTTTGCTAGAGCTTGAGCTGGTGGTTCCAAAGCACCTCGTACAACCAGGGGACCAGAGCCACCCTACAGAGCTGGATGAAAAGACCTACAAACCCTTAACTAAGCTCCATGAGTGGAGCAAATCCCAGCAGCAGGAGGTGGGTCAGTTCACCCGGTGCCACGGAGGATGGCTTTTGGAGGTCTGCGATTAAACGTTGGGTTGATAAGCACCGTTTCCGATGTCCATTCTTCCTGCTTTGCAACACAGGATTGACAATTCCCGCGTTTCCAGCTTTTCTACATAGAAAAGCAGCAAGTTCTGCTCACTACAAACTCTCAACCACAGAAACCCCCCACCCCTTCCCCTTTCCTTCTCTCTTTTTTTCTTTCCTTTTTTTTTTTTTTTTTTTTTTTAACCGCCCCCATTCCCTTTTGAATTGGTGAATGAGAGAACGTCTAAAGGCAGGGAAGTATGGAAAGATTTCATCCCTTGAGAGGTCAGGGTGGGGTGGAAAGCGGAGGGGGCTGCAAGGGGGCAGTTTGAAAACAGGAAACCATGTGGCAGCGTGCATGCAGGGCCCAGCTGATGTGAATGAGCTATTGAGAGGGGAGAGACGCTCTGCTCCGACTGGCCCAGCTTTAGAAAGATGAAAGACCTTCAGGGTTTGGGTTTTTTCTTTTTTAAGGAAAAAATGCTCTGCTTTTCAAGCTAGAATAAAAGAGGGAAAATTGTATTTTCTGAACAGCAAGTTGCTGAAATCTTTTGCTCCGTGTTGCAAACAAACAAACAAAAAAAAGTAAATGGATGATTTCCGTTGTTGGGTTTGTTTTTTTTTTTTTGTTCCCTCCCCCCATGTGTACTGATTAAATCATAAGTTTCCATTCCTGTACTGGGGAAGTGTTGAGACTGAAATTGTCTTTCATTCACCTGGCCTGGGGGAGAGGGAAGAGTCTTTTTACTTCTCCAAAAACATGTCCCTTTGCTGCTCAGTCTCTTTTGGACCTAGCAAGCACTGAGTGCCTGCAGCCAGAGGTGGAAGAGGCTGGCAAAGAAAAGCTGCTGCCTTTTCTTCCCCCCCCACCTCCCGCCCCCTTCTTTTTTTTCCCTCTCTCTGAAGAGATGAATCATGCTCCCACAACTGCAAAGAAATTTTGAAAGCTGGGAGAACACTGCTGCAGGACTAAAAAGGCAAGTAGTGACGTCCCAGCCCAAATGAGGAGGGAGTGGCTTTGATTATTTTCTTTCCTTTTGCCCTGCGCTGTCATTAGAAATTTAAACTTAACGCAAAACCGAGCCCTCCTGTCTGGTGAGCGGTGGACTGACTCGAAAGGAGGAAAGAGCCTTTTTTGATGGTTTCATTCAGTGCACGAGGGCGTGAAAGAAAAAACACATTGGTGACAGTATTTACATTGGATACGGTGATCGGCTTTTCTTTTTTTTCTTTTCCTTTTTTTCCTGAATTAGACCCGTCGTGGCTGAGCCTACCTTCTACTTTCCCTCTCGGAGCGTCAGGATTCCTG